GGCTGGTCTGGAACTTGCCATCCTCCTCCTGCCTTATCCTCCTCAGCAGCCAGGATTACCAGTTTGTACTATCCTACCAGGACCAAAATAGTTTATTTTTTAAATTTTCTTCTTGTTATTATTGTTATTATTATTTGTATGGGGGATTACACCCAGGGGTGCTTAACCACTAAGCCACATCCCTGGCCCCTTTTTAATTTTGAGAAAGGGTCTCACTAACTTGTTTTTTGGTCTCTCTAAGTTGTTGAGGCTGGCCTTAAACTTGTGATCCTCCTGCCTCAGCCTTCCAACTCACTGGGATTACGAGTGTGCCACCATGCCCAGCACCAAAATAGTTTTTAAATGCTCAAAACCTATTTAAAAAAAATCTTGTCCAGGTATAAAACAATTAAAAGAACATTTCAAAGCCACAGTCAATACATTAGAAAAGGAATTCTCAGGTCTTTTTGGGTCAAGATTAGGGAAATCTTCAAAGAACTGGGTCTTAAATCAGAATCAAATAAAAAGTATGATACAGTGGAACACTGGGGAATATAGACTGACAACATAAGGGCTGAGGTTGTGGCTCAGTGGCAGAGCACTTGCCTTGCATATGTGAGGCACAAGGTTTGATCCTCAGTACCACATAAAAATAAATAAAGATATTGTGCCCATGTAAAACTAAAAAAATATTTTAAAAAAAGTGAAAACACAAAAATGGGCACAAAAACCCAGAAGGGATGGATAAATGTAACAAAATATCTGAAGTTCAGCATATAGTGAAGGTAAGAGTCCTGTGCCTAAAAACATGATAAAAGCAGTATTTTCAAAAAATTAACCTAACAATAATCTGAGGTAATCAGAAGTCAATCTGTTAGAGGAGTCTAACCAGAGGTAGGCAGATCTTCTGTAAAGGGCCAACAGTATTTTAGGCCTTGTACTCCATATGTGTGTCTATCACAACTACTGAAACTCTGCTATTTTAGTATGAATGAAACCAACTAAATAAATGAACAATGGTGGTGTAACAATAAAACTTTTATAAAAATAGCCCACAGACTGGATTTGGACATGGCTATGGTTTTCAGACTCCTGTTTTGAACTGAGGGAGTAGCAGGAAATGAAAAATTTAGTAATCTTCCTTACATGAGACAAAAACAAAGATAATATCAAAACTGGGATCTTAAAAACCAAAATGATAGTGGTGTTGCTGATATAGGTTAACAACTTTGAAGAAAAAAATTTAAAGACACATGAGTTAATAGTTATAAAAGGGGTACTTGGGGATTAATTGCTAATAAATATGAAGTTTCTTTTTAGGGTGATGAATATGTTCTGGAATTAGATGGTGATGATTATATAACTCCAAATACATTAAAAACCACTACTGACGCCTGGGGATGTAGTTCAATGGCAAAACTCTTGCCTAGCATTCACAAGGCCATCGGTTCAATCCCTAGTACCAAAATAAATAAAATAAGAATTAACACCACTGAATTTTATAATACCTGAGTTGTATCTCAACTTAAAAAGTGGGTGAAAATGTGGAGTATCAACTGAGAACAAAATACTCGAGTCAAGAAGTGTTTCAAGGGCTGGGGTTGTGGCTCAGAGGTAGAGCGCTCGCCTACCATGCATGAGGCACTGGGTTCGAACCTGTATCCACCTATAACTAAAAAATAAATATTTTTTTAAAAAAAGAAGTGTTTCAATAGTAACTAGATATATAATGTTAGGTTGGACTTGTGAAAATAAGGGCATAAGATTAATAGTTGATACTCAACAAGGAGATGCTGAAAAAAGAAACTCTCCAAAAAATAAAAATAAGTAATGCCTTGGGGAATGAGGAGAAGAAACCAAATAGAGAAGGAATGGTAAGAAAAGATATGGCTATGAAAGGGTAAGCAAAGGTTATGAAACATCAGTATTATATCAGAGTATAAAAAATAGCAATAAAGAAAATATAACCCTTACCCATAATAATCATGTTAAAGGATACACTTTCCATTAAAGTAGACTTCCTAACAAGTAGAGTTTTTAGCTAATCATGCTTACACCAAGTCTTTTTCACCATAAGTCTTTCAATGTAACCTTTAGGAAATCTCAAAAAAAAAAAAAAAAACAAGTGCTTTTAGAGTATGCGATTACCTTTAAGCAGTAAAGAACACACATGCCTGAAATCTACAGGTGGTAGTAGACTAAAGTATTAATATTGATCCTATTTACATAGTTGACAACGTATGCCTCATTTTTCCAGACATCTCACCTGAATGGGTGGCCTTCATCTGATTTCTGGATAGCTTGGATCACACCCTTATATATCCTAAAGCTGATAGTCACAGAGAGCAGGGCCAAGGCAATGTAGGCTGTTACACTCACAATGCTGAATACTGTCAATGAAAGCAGCAGGAATAAGCTGGCACCAAACACTACTCCAGTCTTCTTAATGTCTCTCCAGTAGAGGAGGTCAACAACTAAAATGGAAAAAGAAATTTTAAATGAGAACATTATTTTATCCATTTGGATTTTGCACACTTATATTAACTCTACCTACAAAAATATAAAAAAGGCGCTGAGTATGGTGGTACACAACTCAGTGAGACCCTGTCTCTAAATAAAATACAAAATAGGGCTGGGGATGTGTCTCAGTGGCTGAGTGCCCTTGAGTTCAATCCTTGGTACTCTCTTCCAAAAAAGATTTCAAATGTATGAGGCCCAGCAGACTTCTTATGCAAAATAAGAGGTTACTACTGAGGTCTTCTTCTTCATACAATGCATGATATATATTCAAATAATAGAAAAATGTTAAGAAGTACTAAAATGAGAAATTTCAGTGATACAAAACTGTAGAATCACTAATTCAAAAAATGTTGAGAAACTGAATGAAACTGAACTCTTATTTAAATCTACTCTTCTGAGATCTACAGCTCTTCTTTTATGATCCCTCTTTGAGAACCTTAAAAATTATAACTCAATCTAACTATCATTAACAAAGTTTCCTACAGAGCAAAAGAAGCGGAAACCACCTATAGATAACTAAAAAGCTACTTTTTTTTTTTTTTTTGAATGGCATAAAAATTTTGGAGTCAAAGAAAACCTACATTTGTTACACTGTTATATAATGTTTATTAATAGTAAGGAGTCAGACAAAGCCTAACTTAGCAAGTCATCTCTTGGACCACGGTCACAGGCCCACTATTAGGATCAAATAACACTATATGCTTGTGGTCTCTAGATCGGGTTAGCTCAACCCAAGGATAATTCTGCACTGTGCAACAGACTCTTGAATTCACAGGCTAATGAAACCATCCCCCTCTGGATTGCAACTAGAAGAAAAATTTTTTTCTGATTTATTATCTTTATGATTACGCACAATAGTGGGATTCACTGTGACATTCATACATGCACATAACAATGTGATCAATTAGCATTTTTTACAGTAAAATGAATTCAGATACACTTGAGTACAATTTTTAATACCTGGTAATTTTAAAATGAAAGGAGTGACATTAAAAACAAACACATTTTTAGGGACTGCTCTGGCTTTGATCCCTAGGTATCCCAGGTATATATGGCTTCCCTTTACTCTTAAGAGTAGTTTTGGTGGACACAACATCTTTATTTTTTTATGTGGTGCTGAGGATATAACCCAGCACCCCACGCATGCCAGGTGAGCGCACTACCGCTTGAGCCACATCCCCAGCCCTACTGTTAACAGCAGTTTTGTAGAGAAAACTATTTATGTGAACTATAAAATATTGGATTATCATTACAAAGTCCTTAATTCCTGTGAGTATACATCACAAGTACTGATTTCAGATATTTTAATTGGGGCTGGAGGTGTAGCTCAGTGGTAGAAAGCATTCCTACCATGTGTATGACCCTGGGTATTTTAAGTGCCCATCACTCTGTTTTAGCACAGAGCAGCAGTTTATAGCATTAAAAAAAAAAAAAAAAGTTTCAGACTTTTGATTTTAAGCCTTCCTCAACTGGTTTGTAACTGACCCTGCCTAAAACATCTACTTCAGTTTTGATGTATGCAACTAGTTTTTCCTGTTGTACCAATACAATAGCATGTCCAAGACTGACCAGAACTTGAAATAGTCTATGTTGTCAAAATGACATTATGAATAATAAAAAGGTAATAGCAATGTTAATTCTTTCCTAAAATTCAGCAAACACTGAGATGATACTGTTCAAGAAACTCAACTAAAACCTGACAATGGGAAAATGGACTTTTCTTAAAGGCCTATCCAACTCTAGAATGGTACAAGCCTGGAAAAGATGGTAAGATATGTAAAAACAAGTCAATAAAGGCATAATAAAACAAAGAACTGCATTGTGATGAGAACTTAGGAACAGGAAAAACTGGAAGAAATTTTAAAACACTGAAATAAAGAGAAACTCGGCTGGTCTTTAAAAATGCATAGGGATCTAGGAAACCTGAAGGGACAGGGCTAATTTATAACAGCAGTGGTTCTGATAATTATTATCATTTTTTTTCCCTAGCACTGTTAAAGAGGCTGTCTTACCAAGAGGGCCCTTGGTAAGATAATTCTTGCTGGACATGGTGACACATGCCTATAATTCTAGCAGCTTGAGAGCTAAAGACAGAAGGACCAAAAATTTGAGGCCAGCTTCAATAACTCAGTGAGATCCTGTCTCAAAATAAATAAAAGGACTAGGGGTAGTAGCTTAGATGTACAGTGTCCCTGGATTCAATCCCCAGTACTAAAAGTAAATATTTTTTTAAAAAAAAGGAATCAGGGATATAGCTCAGTGGTAAAGTATACCTGGCTTCAATCCCCTGTACCCTAACCCAAAGATCATTCTTGGCTATGAAGGTCTCCAGAAATGCCATAATCGTGGTTTGTGTGTAACAAACACAGAATTTAGGTTCAAGAGCTGGATCTCCTTGACTCCAACAGTGGCTTCATAACCTCACGCAAGTCACTAAAATCCTCTATACCTGAGCCTCTTTACTTAAAAAAAAAAAATAGTGTATAAAAATAGAAATGATGGGCAGGGATTGTGGCTCAGTGGTACAGCATTTGCCTGGCATGCGTGAGGCCCTGGGTTCAATCCCCAGCACTGCCAAAAATAAATACATAAATAAATAAAATGATCTCACTGAGGTGTGATTTAGTTAGATAGTGAATTTTTTCATTAATAATATAAAGCACTTAATGTAGGTCATCAGCATACAATAAATTCTTAATGTCAGGGCTGTTATTTGTTGTTGTTATTGGTATCACCATAATCACTATCACTTTTCTTATCTAGGTAATTTAAATAGTAAGTGCATTAAAAATTTTTTCAAATTTAGGATTAACTTCTAGGTTAATGATCTTCTGTGTTACACTGTAACCACAGACAAAAGGATTTTAAAACTCATATCTAAGCTTTCACTATTATTGGGTACATAAAAGTTGACAGCCTAAATGAATCAGCAGTTAAGGCATACCTCAAATCTATTTTAATATGAACAAATACCACTTTATAAAAATGGTACTCGAAGTGCTCAAAAATATTCATTAATCTTCAGAATCATTATTGATGAGAACCTAAAACAAATGCAGAGGTATTCACTATTCCTGATCATTGTTTTAAAAAATGATTATGAAATCACTGGCTTTAGACCATTAATTATGTCTAACCAGAGACTATTAATGTCTAACCAGAGACTATTCAAAGAGGCTTGAAGACTAGATAAGAATTAGTTATCTAATCTGTGCATTCTATAAATGAACACAGAAGGAGAAAAAAAAATCAGTACTGTGATTCCAGAGACTCACATAGGCATCTAGGAAACCTAAAGGGACAGGGCTAGTAAGCTTACATCCTAGTAAGCTCTGCAATCATGTAGCTTTGGGTAAAAAATTCCTCCCCTCCTGGATTTCAGTTTAATAATTCATAAAAGACATTAGTCATCTAATTTCTCTTTTCCCTTCAGAAACTAACATGAATCATAGCACAAAGACACACCTCAGTTCTACATTCAAATTCCCCTCAGTGGATCCAGATCAATGAGGTTTTATCACTAGTATTCATCTGTACCAAATATAATTTTAGCTTAGATGTAAAATAATCCCCTTTAGGGCTGAGGTTGTGGCTCAGTGGTAGAATGCTTGCTTAGCAAGTGTGAAGCACTGGGTTCAATTCTCAGCACCACATATAAATAAATGAATAAAAAAAAGGTCCATCAACATCTTAAAGTTTTTTTTTTTTTTTTTTTTAAATAATCCCCTTTACAGATCTAGATTTTGGGGAAGAGAGAGGTGTAAACACTTTTATTCATACTAGTCTCTTTTGAGCAGAGCCTTTCTAAAAACACTTTAAATGCCCAATACAAATTCTTGTAATTTCGCAAGCAACTATAAACTATATCATTATTGTAAATGTATGAGGTTTTTTTTTTTTTAATTCTGAAAAGCATTTTAAGCCTGATGGATGCTTTAGACATGTTCTCCAGATTGCTAATCTACATTCTCCAATCTCCACACCTTCATTTCCTAAGTCAACCTTTTATTGAATATATACATAATGCCAAACACTGTAACCTATTTGTTTCAATTCTCAAAACAGAAGGAAAGGTAGCCTTTCAGACAAGTGAAACCCAGTTTTTACATGACTGGGCCCAAATAACATTTATTAAGTGGTAGAGCACTTACTAATGGAACAAGAACCCAGATTTTCTACTGATAAACTCATTCACCATGTATGCTACCAAACTGAAGGCTCAGCATACAGAAGTTCTTCAAAATGTGTTTGCTTAATGAATAGGACAGTATAGGTATATAATTACTTGTGAGATGAATCACAAAGGTGAAGAACAAAGTCTAAATGAAATTAGACTTAATTAATAAGGTACATATAAATTTTAATGTGAATGTTAGCCTTTAGTTAATCTCAAGAGTTCTACTCCAATGTATTTAAAGATACTTTCCCATAGTATAAAAAATATAATCAAGTTGTTAAAAATGTCTTTTAAAATCCATGTGAATTTGACTGAATAATTAGATATATCTATGCAATGCAATTATAGAAAGTAACAAAGATCTACATTACCACAAAAAGATGTGTACAAATGATACAGGAAAACAGAATGTTACCAAAAAAGACTCATATAGTACAATCCCACTTCAAAAATTAAACACTTCTATCTATGAAGTCTGAAAGCATATCTATTAAACGATGCTTTTACCTCTAAGTAATGGGATTTTTGGTTTTACTTGTTTCTTTATTCTTTTCTATGCTACCCGAAATTGTTCCACTCCAATGGCAAGTATAAATTACAATCATACACTGAAAAAAAAAATCTCCCCTCCTCTTTCTATACCAGTAATAGTACATATACTTCAAAATTCTTGTAACACAAGTGCAGTTTTCCCAGGAAGCCTTTTTATTGGAAAGAGAGTGCACTGTCTGCTAGATTGATCAATATATGGGTCCAGCTTATAGTTAGAATTTTTAGGAGCATCTAAGTTAAAAAGTCTGATGTTTTGGATTGAATTAAGTCAATTTCCCCAAAGCTGAGAGCAATCAGTGATCACAGTCTAAAATAAATTTAACTACATGAAAATGTAATAAATCCTCGCCTATAACACTTTCCTTTCCTCCTGTTACATAATTCCTAGAAATAAGGTATTTTTAATAAATGCAGAAACTCTGAAAAATCATACAACATTCTAGGCAGATACCATTACAGAAATGTTGAAATAAGCCCTAAAAATGCTGTTAGTGGAGCCATCAGGCTCTTAGAGCACTGAAGGCAAGAGAAGTAAGACAATAAGGCAATGAGTGTCACACAGAAGAAAAAAAATGAATATATTCTAGAGGGGAAGAATATATATCTGAGGGGAAACTTAACACTACTACCTACTACCTAAACCTAACCTACTACCAAAGGCACTGTGAAAAATATAGGAGGATTTTAAGTTTGTTTTGTAAAAGAATTTAAGAGACTGTTACTAAGCTGCAAGAATGAAAAAATATTAAGATTTTAGCCAACTGGGTTGTCTTGACACTTGCCAACAATATTGCTATTAATACAGCCATACCAAAAGAGCTATAGATTCAATGCAGTTCCTACTAAAATTCCAATGACATTCTTTATAGAAATAGAAAAGGCAGTCTTGAAATTCATTTGGAAAAATAAGAGACCCAGGATGGCCAAAGCAATCCTCAGGGAGAAAAGTAAAGCAGGAGGCACCACAATACCAGACCTTAAATTATACTACATAGCTATAGCAACAAAATGGCATGGTTTTAGCACCAAAACAGACATGAAGACCAATGGTTCAGAACAGAAGAGAAACTCACATGAATACAGTTATCTCATACTAGACAAAGGCACCATAAACATACTTGGAGAAAAAGTAGCCTCTTCAAAAAATGGTGCTGGGAAAACTGGAAATCCACATATAGCAAAATGAAATTAAACCCCTATCTCTCACCCTGCACAAAACTCAGAAGTGGATCAAGGGACCAGGTTGTGGTGGCACAAGTCTGTAATCCCAGAAGCTCAGGAGGCTGAGGCTGGAGGATCCTGAGTTCAAAGCCACCTTCAGCAATGGTGAGGTGCTAAGCAACTTAGTGAGACCCTGTCTTTAAATAAAATACAAAATAGGGCTGGGGATGTAGCTCAGTGGCTGAGTGCCCCCTGAGTTCAATCGCTGGTGCCAAAAAAAAAGTGGGGGAGGGGATCAAGGACCTCGGCATTAGACCAGAGACCCTAATCTCTATCATGTTGGCTTAGGAACAGAATTCCTCAATAAGACTTCCAAAGCTTGAGAAGTAAAATCAAGAAAAAAATAAATGGGGGGCTAGGATTGTAGCTCAGTAGTAGAGCACTTGCTTAGTATGGTTGTAAGGCACTGGGTTTGATCCTCAGCACCACATACAAATAAATAAATAAAATAAAGGTACTGTGTCCATCTACAACTAAAAAAATTAAAAAGAAATCAATAAATTGTATGGTGTCAAACTAAAAAACTTCTTCACAGCAAAGGAAACAATAATAGAACATGAAGGAAGAACCTACAGAATGGGGGAAAATCTCTGCCACCTGAACCTCAGATAAGAGCATTAATCTTCAGGATATACAGGGGACGCAACACACACACACACACACACACACAAAACAAAAAAACTCAGTCAATAAATGGGCTAAGGAACTGAACAGACACTTCACAGAAGAAGAAATACGATCAGTCAACAAATGTATGAAAAATGTTCATCACTAGCAATTCAAGAAATGCAAAATAAAACTACATTGATATTTCATCTCACTCTAGTCAGAATGGTAAAACTATAAAAAATACAAGTTAACAATAAGTGTTGGCAAGGATGTAGGGAATAAGGTACATACATTGCTGATGGGACTGCAAGTTGGTGCAACCACTCTGGAAAGCAGTATGGAGAGTCCTCAGAAAACTTGTAATAGAAACATCATTTGATCCAGTTATCCCACTCCTCGGCATATACCCAAAGGACTTAAAATCAGCATACTTTAGTGATGCAGCCACATCAATGTTTATAGCACCTCAGTTCACAATAGTTAAGCTATGGAACCAACCTAGATGCCCTTCAACAGATGGATAAAGAAAAGATAGTATATACACACAATGGAATATTACTCAGCCATAAAGAAGAATGAAATTATGGCATTTGCCAGTAAATGAATGGAACTGGAAACTGTCATTCTATGTAGATGCTAACTCACAATAAGCGGAGAGGACAGGGGAAGAAGAGAAGCTAATTGGACTCGACAAAAGGGAATGAAAAGAATGGAGCGGGGATGGGAATAGGAAAGAAGAATGAACTGGACATAACTTTCCTATGTTCTTATATAAATACACAATCAATGTAACTCCATGTACAACCACAAAAACAGGAAGTTATACTCCATGTATGTATGAGATACCAAAACACACTGTATACAACTAAAAAGAAAAACAAAAATATTTTTTTTTAAATTATGCCCTTTACATTCACATAAAAAGAATACAATGCTTAGGAATGAAGTTAAAAAAAAAAGTAATGTAAGACTTATAAACTGACTATAACTTGATGAAAATTTATGACTTAAATAAATG